TGTCTTCTGCAAATGACACCCTGTTCTGATGCTGCAACTTCATGCATTTTGAAGTCGGGAAGGATGACTTCAACGTTCTCTTGGACAAAACCCAGGAGCAGGGAGAGGAGAAGGCCAGAGACCCCTGCTCACCGCCTGTGTTTTCCAGGCCTGTCCCCCCCAGCAACCACACGGGCGTGGACTCCCTGTGTGACTTCTCGCCGCTGGCACGGAAGCTGGACAGGATCGCCATCTACGAGGAATTCCTGAGACTCACCCAGAATGGCACCCGGCTGCGGAATTTCACCCTGGACAGGAACAGTGTCCTTGTTGACGGTGAGGCTCCGTGTTCCTGGCCGCTGGAGTGGTGCCCGACTGCCACGGCAGAGTTCCAGGGGTGTCTTTCTCTGAGGCAACAGATCACTGACATGTTCGGCTGTGAAGACCACGTGTGGTCTGTCTCACGAGTCTGTATTCTTCTGGTTGTATAAATCTGAGATGGAAAACACTGCTGGCTCACAGGATCCATAAAAATAGACATGACCCTATTTGACTCCTGGGTTAGTTTCCCGAGTTCTCGTCTAGATTTGCACCAGCAAAGAGAACGTCCTAAAAAAACAAACGTTCTCTATCAGCGTTGTCCAGGACAACAGCCTCACCTCCTCCCGCGTAGCTGAAGTAAGGCCCATGTGGCCGATTTTTATTATTGCTAATGTTACAGAGGGACCGCACTGTAACATTATTTAGTGAAAATGACTGCAAGTTTAAAAGCCACGGTGGTTCCTTACACATCAGACAGCACAGCTTCAAGAAGCTGGCTGGGAGGAGGTCCGGGCTCACTGTCCCGGGACCCTCCCGGGACCCTCCCGCAGCCCGGCGGGGGGGGTGTACGTGGCCCTGTCCCCGTGGTATTTCTTTGGTAGTTGGGAATAACAAGAATGGGCCAGAGACAAATATAGATCACTTCCTTGCTTGGACATAGTAGTCAGGCAGCTTCCTAGAGGAAATTCTGGAAAATGAGTCTACAACCAGCTCAGTAAAGGAGAAGGGGTGAATGTTTCTAGGCAGAGAAGAAACTTCTCGGAGGCTCACACGGGCTCGCTAACCCGTGAGCCGCTGTGCCCCGATGGTCACGGCATGGCCCACGCCGCGTGCCCATGCCGCGTCAGCCCTCCATTCCCAGGCTCATCGCACTCTGCATGGTGACCCGCCTTGGGGTCTGTAACCAGCAGCGCAGTGTGTGAATCAGCCGCTCTGTGGAAATATGGGTGGAGCAAGGGTGGCGTGGGGGTGCCAGGAAGTGACCATCTCGCTGAATGGAGCCGACATCTCTGGGGAGGGGCTATTTCCGATTCGGTTCATTCTATTTTTCTATCTGCTCGAAAGCTTGGCTTAAGAATTGCATGCACTTCCAGGGTACTCTGCCAGCAAGAATGAAACCCTGATGGAGCGTGCTGGTAAGCCCCGAGGGCCCCGCGCCAGCTCAGGGAGGGAGTGCTGGGGTGCTGGGCCTCGCCCACGGAAGCGGGCGCCCAGCCCGCTGGCCAGCCGAGGACTGTGGGGGCAGAGCAGGGGGCAGCCGTGAGGGCGGCAGGAGGGGCTCACGGCAGCCTTGTCTCCCCAGGGCTCCCCTTCTGGGCCATCATCCTCCTCTGCTTGGCGGGACTCCTGGTTCTCATCACAACCCTCGTCTGCTGCTTCCTGGTAAGTCAGGAGTGTGTCTCGTCTTCTCGCTTGGGTCTAAGAGGTACTTCCATACCCTCTGCTGGTGCGGGTATGCTCTGCCTGTATTTTCTCCCAGTCTGGTGTGACTTGCTCTTTTTATTCTCCTGATAAGATAGTCATTAGGGAAAGGTAAATGAAAGGCCACAATGATGTCCTGTTCCATCTGAGAATGGCCATAGCTTTAGAAGAATGACTATAAGAGTTGCTGAAGGAGCAACTAGAACTCAGAGAGCGAGTTGGGTGCCTCTTTAAAAGTCAGAGGTCCAAGAATTCCACTCCGACTCCTAGGATGTACCTAAGGGAAATAAAAATATGTTTATACAATTTGTTCACGAATGCCTATAATAGCTTTACTCATACCAGCTCAAAATAGAAAGCGACCCATAGGTCAGTCAATGGATAAACGGGTAAACATCCTTGTGGAGCAATAGGATTCCGTGAAAAGGAGCAAATTCCAGTGCATTCGTAGACACACACACATGCACATGTCTCAAAAGAATTATGTTGAGTGAAAGAAGCCAGAAAAAAACATCACCTAACACATGAGTCCATCATAAAAACATTCTAGAAAATACAAGCTTCTTCTTGGGCTGTCGGGAAAGAAACTGTTTGCAGTGGCAGAGAGGGAGCAATTACAAAGTCACCTGGAGAAACGTTTTGGGGTGAGGAGGGTTGGGGTGGGGATTATCAGCCTGATTTCAGTAATTCATGCTTAGATTCATCAGTCATTCCCTTTAGATGTGCATGTCGAGCGTACCTTCAGTAAGCCAGAGGACACGGGAGAGAGACCGACAGAGAGGGGGGATGAAGGAAATGGCAGAGCAAACATGACAAAAAGTGAAAGTAAAAGGGGAGAGAAAACAAAAAAGAAAAAAGCGAAAGGCCTGAGAGAGGAAATTACTGGACCGAGGAAGGAGAGAGACACAGGAGGCGTCAGGTGTCTCTGGCTCTTCGTCCTCTTTTATGTCCCTCTGGACTGGAGTAGATGACCAGTCCATCCTGGTGTTCCCTCGCCCCACAGTTCACCGTCTGCCTGCGGAAAAAGGAGGGCAACTACGAGGTTCAGCGGCGGCGCCTGGGCCACTACCTGCCGCACCTGGACCTGCGGAAGCTGCCGTGACCAGCTCAGCCCGAGGCCACGTCCCAGCCAGGCTCCCACGAAGCTTGACTGGACAGAAATAAACCACAGTGGCCAGACAGAGCCTCGGAGCCCTTCTTGACTTCTCTTCTGCCAAGATAAAAGTCTGTCCCCACATTAAGTCCCCAAGGCAACTGTGATTCTGTCTTGTGGTGACACACACTTGTATCACAGAGGGACAGTGGTGACGCTGGCACAAAAGCTGCCATCATATAAATCAACACCTGTTTCAGTTGAGGTTCCCTTTCCTAAGGACCCCTGGAGCACACCTCTGACTCTTGTGTTAACCACTGCACCCATTCGGGTTCTCAGAGCCCCCCAAACACCCTCCCACCACAGCCCAAGTCCTGCCATTCTCACGTTTCCCTTCCACTGCTCCATTCTCTGAAACTCATGTCCACCAGCTTGCCAGATCAACCTGCAAGGGTCGCTCCTCTCCCCTGTCACTGGTCTCCCTAGGCGAGAAATAGGCCGAGAAGGGGGGCGGGGGTGGGGTCAGCAGTGACTGCAATTGGTCTTCAGACAGAAGCTGCAAGGGTTGGTTCTAATGTGTCTTTCTCTGACCCTCTGGCTTCTCTTGCGCATGTCTCTGTCTCCTTCTATGTCCCCTAGGTCCCTGGTATGAGTCCAAGGCCGAGAAGCAGGTGCAGCTTCTTCACCCATCTCTGCCCCATGGGTCTCCTCCAGGCTCTCCCTTCCTCCCCCTTCCTCCCCCTTCCTCCCCCTTCTTCTCCCTTCCTCCCCCTCCAGTACACTCCTCTGTCCCATCTCCCCTTCTTCTCTTTCCTCCTCCTCTGCTTCTTCCTCTCTAGTGTTTCTCTCCATCTTTCTAACTTCCAGACCTGCCTTTCTGTAAGGGGGGGGGGCAGGGAACCTGGAGCCTCCCCATTGTCTAGGGAGTACCTGTTACATTACACATTTTACCACTTAATGGCTTGAATTTTATCCAGATAGCCAGTATAGGGTATTATGAATACATTATTTTTATCACTTTCTTTTGATCTTTTAAATGTCTCTTTGCTTTCTTCTCATCAACCCATCACTAATCATCATGAATTCATCTTCCTTTTCAGTAGATCCAGCTGCATGAAACAATTTATCAGTTTCGTTGCTGCTTGGGGAAATCTCTCTTGGGTTTGTACATACACATACATGGACAAGTACACAGTATATCAGGAAGAATGAAAATAACAATGCTTATCTTAGATCAAAAGAAGCAGGACACAGTCCCGGAATGAGAACATTTGCCTAACTGCCCTTGAGTTTGAAGTTTCCCTTTGTCTATCTATGACATAACCTCCCACCCCCAACAAATCTTGAAATAGCACCCCAGCCTTCTGGTTTGGGACAGCAAATTGCATGAAAACGATGCATTTGCTAAATGAAATTAAGAAACGCAAACATACAGCAACAAATGAAAAGCCTGAATACGGACGTATTCTTCTATCGGACTGTGAACAGGAGAAGAGTTAAGGGTCCCCGCACCGCGCAGCCTAAGGACCAGCAAAGACCCCGCCTTCTGAGCCGGCCCCGCCCCTGACACGCCCCCGACACGCCCCCGGAACTGGCTCGCCCAGC